GTTCAGAACACCACCCTCCACATCCTCGTGTACTGACTGACTTTTGTCAGCTTGACACAAGCTAGAGTCACTTGGGATGACGGGATCTCCACTGAGTAGTGCTCCATCAGACTGGCCTATGGGCATGTCTGTGAAACATTTTCTTCATCAATGATTGATGTGAGTCGTCTACTAGAATGGCCTACTCTCAAGCCTGTGGGCTGTATAAGAAAGGAAACAGAGAGGCCATGAAGTATAAGCCCCTTAGCTCTGTCATCTGCTGTAAGATGAATTAATAAATGACCCGGAGCAGGCATTGGGGTTCAAGCTGAAGATCCGGGAAGCAAAGCAGCTGCCACTAGCTCTCACCTCTACCTTGAGCTGAATGAGCTGGTCCTGTCTGCACGAGCTCTCACCAAGCCTCAGACTGTAACCTCTCCTCAGAGTGCTGGAGAATAAATGCCTCCTGCTGAATCCTGATACTGACATATATATATATATATATATATATATATGCATATAGTGAGTCCTGGGATTAAAGGTGTGAACTATAAGTCTCTTTTAAACTAATTCAGTCTTGTGTAGATCTGGGTGGCCTTGGACTCACAGAGATCCATCTACCTCTTAATCCTGAGTCCTAGGATTAAAGGTGTGTATCACCACCTCTTAGCTTCTGGCTGCTGGGATTAAAGGTGTGTATCACCACTACCTGATCTCTATAGCTTGAGTCTGACTTTGTTTTTCTGAATCCTCAGTCAAGCTTTAATCAATCATAAATATCACCATAATCTCCTGCCTGGAGTCCCAGCTTTGAGCTCAAGCCTTAGGTCCAATGGAGCTGTAAGCAGTAAGCCAAACAAATCCTTCCCTCCCCTAAATTGATTTTGGTCTGTTGTTTTCATGGCAACAAAAAGCAAACTAAGACCCCTGGCCTCTCTGCGTTCCTTTCTGCTGGGGTCGTCTTGGAGAGGAAATAAGAGGACAATGTAAGGAAATGTCAAGACTGTCCCCTTGTTCGTATTCAGCAGCTACTATGAAGGTACATCGGGAGGGCTGCAGAGGGCACCAGGGCTTGCAAATTTTGAATGATTGTTGTAATGTCTTTTACCTTCCAAAACCAAAAGGTGATAATTACTCTGTATGTTCATTCATATATTAAACAAACATAAGTGGTTTGTTTTCACTGTCAAACAATCAAGAAGCTTATAATTTAGTTAGCCAAGGGAGGCTATTCAATCTGTATTCTTTCTTTATCCTTTTGAGATGGGTCTTGCTCATCCCAGGGTACACAAATCAAATGAAGTCCGCACCTGAGAAACCGGCTGTTCTCCAGACCTTACAGGCCTGATGTAGCTCCAGTGCCCTCTCGTCCATTCAGGAGAGGACAGCAGAAGGAACAGAGTGTGTAACACCGTGAGTGTAGCCTTGAATTCGTCAAGAGTAAGCCTTTGACACACACTGTGCCCTAAGAGGTAGTGTGATAAGTTATTTACAAAAGACTGTGCAAACAACTTTCAAATGTCAGCTCTCACAATAAAACGTGCAGGCCCAGAGGCAAAGACAGTATTCAACACTTCTTGTGACTGACATGTTCTTAATCTTTTTTACATTTTATTCCTATTTCTTTACCTCAGACCCCATGATTGTAGTCACCCAGCCAGTGCAATGGTTCTCCAATGCTACCATGCATCAGAATTACCTGGCGAGCTTGTTAAGAGCACAGTGAGGTTGGCTAGATGGGTCAGTGGGTAAAGCAAGCTTGTGGCTAAGCTAAGTCTGATGACCTGAGTTTGATCCCTGGAACCCACATGACAGAAAGAGAGGACACTGATTCCTACACATTGTTCTCTGACTACACAAGCACATGACCTCTACACACACACACACACACACACACACACGCACGCACGCACGCACCTTAAAATGTAATTTTAAAGATTATATCCACATGCACACAGACAACACCTGTTGCTCTCAGTGCATTATAAAACAAAAGAATGTAGAGGACATGAAGTTGGGAGGACACCACGCTGGTGGGGATCTGAGAGGAGCTGAATTGGGGAAGGGTGGATTTAATCTAAGTACGTGGTGTTCCTGTGTGAAGTGATCAGAGAGTACGTACTACAAGTTTAAAAGTTCTCGGGTGATGGTGATGCCGTGGATCCAGGAACCACACCTTGAGGATGAGAGACCCAGGGCTCTATCCATTCTCTCACCAACATGTTTGTTAAACACCAGTCAGGCTCCAGGCACCAAAAGAGAAGGCAGCAGAGCCGACTTCACGTGCACTAACGCTTTGCCCGCACTAGGCTAAGAACTAACTCTACAGTGACATGAGTCTTTACAGGTTGGCATCCTTCCCTATTTGAAATATGAAAATATCACAGACAAAGGAGATAAATCAACCCGATAGATCACATGCATATGAGTCAGAATTGCGATCTGAACTGGCAAAGCTTTAAAAGAGCATAAATAAGAAAAAAACAAAAACAAGTAATTGCTCTGGGTGAAAAGTATCTACAAGCAAAAACAATCTGTACAGGGTTGAGGAGGGGCCACAGTCCAGAGTACATGCCAGGGCAAGCCACAGGAGTGTGCTGCACCAGAGAGGGAGGCAGAGGTAAGAGGTTTTTGTTTGGAATAAAAGGAGAAGAATGCACAAGGTGCTTGGTGCAGAATGGATTGGTTTGGGTCACCCAGGGCCAGAGCTGGTGCTTTCCTGTGGTGGGATGCTCAGGACAGACTTCTCTGAATGGGTGACGCCTTGAATCACGTGAGGAGGACTCAGTGCAGTGTGGAGGACATGCTGGGGAGGACTCAGTGCAGTGTGGAGGACATGCTGGGGAGGAGTCAGTGCAGTGTGGAGGACATGCTGGGGAGGACTCAGTGTTTGTCTCCTTTATGTTTGAGGTGCCCATTGTCCCATTGTCTCTTCTCATCACCAATAAAATACCAGTTTCTCGCCCTCGTGTTTTCCTGGCTTTTCATTTTCTCTGCATCCAACGACAGTGACTCCATCCATTCCTCAGACCTGGGGTACTAGAATCAAAGTGGCACTGGCAGATACCGCTTGATAGCCAGTGCTGCCTGTAACACTGACGAGCTTACACTTGTCACAAGCACTGTCAGTCTCTGAAGATGTAAAACAAATAACTAATGCTCCTAGACATTAAATAATTTGTTCAAACTCAAGCTGCTAAGAAACACTTTGCAATTTAGCCCCAGTCTTTACGGCCCACAAACCTTTCCCAGTGTTACCATTGATTCAAAGTCAGAATCAGACCAAAGAATATGACCCCAGGGACTCAGGAGATGGCTCAAAGAGTGACACACTTGCCTGCAAGCATAAGGACCTGGGACCACCACAGAATCCATGTTAAAAAGCCAGGCATGGCCCTTAGTGACAGGGAGGCCTCAATGATCACACAGCCCTCTGCAGTCCTTAGCCAAGCCTCTGAATGAAGTAAGTGTTTTTAATCCCCCAAAACAAACAAACAAAAATCTAAGCAAGGTGGCATGCATTGGCATCCCAGAGCCCAGGGTGAGCCCACCCTGGCTTGTTTACAAGCTCTGTAACAGTGAGAAACTTTGTTTAAAACACATTGTCTTCTGGGCTCCAAACAGGAAGACACACACAAATATGACTTCAGCTAACCAGGATGCTCTGAAAATAGGAAATCTTGTCTAATGTTCTGGTTAACAAACATAAATCTGAGGTAGTTGTTTGGTTTTTACTCTTTGACTTTCGGGGGGCCCACCACCCAGCTCCCAAATAAATACACAGAGACTTATTTTTGCTTATGAATGTCTGGCCTTAGCTTGGCTTGTTTCTATCCAGCTTTTCTTCACTTCAATTATCCATCTACCTTCTGCCTCTGGGCTTTTATCTTTCTCTATTCTGTATACCTTCCTTTACTTCTTACTCCCTGGTTTGCTGTGTAGCTGGGTGGCTGGTCCCTGACGTCCTCGCTCCTCCTTTTCTCGTTCCATGACCTTCCCTTCCCAGATTTCTCCTTCTATTTATTCTCTCCCTGCCTATCCTTTCTCCTGCCTCACTACTGACCTCTCAGCTCTTTATTAGACCAATCAGGTGTTTTTGGCAGGCAAAGCAGCACAGCTTCACAGAGTTAAACAAATGCAACACAAAAGCATGCAGCTTTGCATCATTAAACAAACATTCCACAGCATAAATGACTGTAACATAAATTAACATTCCACATCACTCTGGTGTTATTTCATCGAAAAGTCTTCTGGCAGTTATGTTTGGCTTTCCACCCTCACTGGCATGGTGTCACATAGAGTTGCCTTGATGACTCGAGACTTTGTGTGTCTTAGAAGCACCAACAGCAGCAGGAGCTGCTGCAGCAGCACCCTCTCCTGAGAAGCATCATGGGAGATGCAGACACAGGATGGCCTGAATGTGTAGATAGCTCAACTGCTTTAACCATTTAATTTTTTCATTTTTAAAATTGTATTTGTTTATTCGTGTGCTCATGGGGGGACATGCAGAAGGTGCTGTGGCATGCATGTAGAACTCAGAGGCCCACTTGGAAGACTCATCCTCCCCTTCCACCATGTGGGTCCCAGAGACCCAGGTCATCAAGCCTGACGGCAGGTGCAAGGAAAGGCTCAGGAAAGAGTCACTGGCCCCTACTTTTTCTGTAATAAGAATTGAAGAGGGGTCCAAAAATAGGACCAATCAGATGTTTCAGTTGGGTGGGAGTCAAATCAATCAAGCTCACCCCAATTAGTGTACATAGCTAACAAGTTTCATTAGAAGTGACCGTTTCTCTTCTTTTTGACTTGGTCAGTCACAAAGAATGAAGCTTTCCCTGATCCCTGTGCATGGCTGTTACCCCATCATCAGGGAGAGAATCGAGCTGTGTAATTACCATTTGAGACATGAATCATCACTTGCAGGGGCCAGCCCTGTGTGATTCTATAAAAGGAGCTCAGGTCCAGGTGCAGAAGTGCACTGCCTGCCGTTCCCCGGGCTGACACAGTTACCGAGCGACCGAGGGGAGATGAAGGTGCTACCAGCCTCTGGCCTTGCTGTCCTTGTTGCAGCTCTAAAGTTTGCCACTGCAGCCCCTACACTATTTGCAGCCGCCCCTAGGACCTCCAGGAGCAGCTACCACATCGCACAGGTTTGTGACCCTGTCCTGTTCCCTTATCCTACTCCTAACCCAGAGCCCCCAACAAAAACCTATTCTTCTTAAAAATCACTTTAACTCCACAGAAGCCTGAACAACTGCACCATGTAAGATCTGTGCTTGGTGCTTATTAGGTACACGTGTTAGTTGCGTGGATGAATTAATGGCTGAATAATTATCTGCATAGGTGTATCTCATTATACAGAAGAGTGGAATGATACAACATGCAAAATTCAAAAAACGAGCATTTGAAGAAAAACAAGTTGGGAAATGTAAAGTCTGGGGCAGGCTGCGAATTCTAGGTGGGGTGCTCGGGGCAGGCTGTGAATTCTAGGCTGGGTGCTCGGGGCAGGCTGTGAATTCTGGGCTGGCTGCTCCGCAGCCACAAGCAGAAAGCTTCTTGGGTTCACATTGTGAAAAACGGCTTTTGTGCTAAAGGCCACCATGGTCAGAATTTAAGACAGGCCAAGCTTTCTTCTCATCAGAGGTCTTTCCTCCCTAAGCTGTGTTTCTCCACAACCTTACTTCAACTTCCCTTTCCCTCTCGTGGCTTCTTGCACCTGACTGGGATCCGAAAGAACTGACTGAGGTGTGAAGGATCTGGCACAGCCAATTACGTTAGAATTTTGTGAAGATTTTGTGGCTGAAAATCATCCTAATACAGAGAAGTTGGTTAAAGGAGAACAGTGAATCGTAGCCTGTAGGAACAGATTTCTAGAGCCAGAATGGCTAGCTATAATATAAGCTATTTGTAGATGTCCCACCTGGGTCTCTCGTGGGAGTCCGATGAAACTGCAGCGTGTGTGTGACTCCATCTCTGCCTGGGGGCTACTGTCCTGTCCAGATGCACACGTAGCCAGCTTGGGCCTAAGGGATAGCGATCTGTCACCTATGTTCCCTGGACTATCCCTACCAATTGTTTTTCCACTTACTTATTGCAGCTGGTCAGTTTCTCTTATAACACAAGAGAATTCAGGGAGCATTTGCTGTGAATATAAATAAGCAAGATCAGCTCAACGTAGATGTCCACTTCCACGGCAGATGCCCACGTCAACAGTAGATGCCCACATCAACAGTAGATGCCCACATCCAAAGTAGATGCCCACATCAACAGCAGATGTCCACATCCATAGTAGATATCCACATCCATAGTAGATATCCACATCAACAGTAGATGCCCACATCAACAGTAGATGCCCACATCCAAAGTAGATGTCCACATCCAAAGTAGATGTCCACATCAACAGTAGATGTCCACATCCAAAGTAGATGCCCACGTCAACAGCAGATGTCCACATCCAAAGTAGATGCCCACGTCAACAGCAGATGTCCACATCCAAAGTAGATGCCCACGTCAACAGCAGATGCCCACGTCAACAGTAGATGCCCACGTCAACAGTAGATGCCCACATCAACAGTAGATGTCCACATCAACAGTAGATGCCCACATCAACAGTAGATGTCCACATCCAAAGTAGATGCCCACGTCAACAGCAGATGCCCACGTCAACAGTAGATGCCCACATCAACAGTAGATGCCCACATCAACAGTAGATGTCCACATCAATAGTAGATGTCCACATCAACAGTAGATGTCCACATCAATAGTAGATGTCCACATCAACAGTAGATGCCCACATCCATAGTAGATGTCCACATCAACAGCAGATGCCCACATCAACAGTAGATGCCCACATCCAAAGTAGATGCCCACATCCATAGTAGATGTCCACATCAATAGTAGATGCCCACTTGAGTTGAATTTTTTTTAACTAGAGCCCATGTGTAGACAAAATCAATTCAAAGTAGCTCCAGGTACTAAGATTATAAATTGTGTTTTACTTGTACTCTTTGTGGGTCCTTTCCCTCCAACTGTAGTTCCCCTCCAGATTCATGCATCTGTAATTCAGAAACTATAAAGCTTTTGCCACACATATCCACTTCCTGGTGCTCACCCAGCAGGTGGTGTTCAGCCAGAACAGCTCTGAGCCAGGGTTTGGACAAATGTCATTCTACCTGACATCCTGGCCAGACCATTAGACTACAGGCTCTTGTGCTACAGTGTCTACTACTGTCTGCAGAATCAAAACCATTGACCACCGCCCTTTACAGAGGGAATAAGATGGTCCCACTCTAAATGGGACTAAGGTCAGAAAGTTTTGGTGGAGCCATCCTGGCTGCTCTCACCAGCTGTGGGGTAGGGGCACATTTCAAAAGAATGGTGTAACTGGGGTGCCGGGGCTGTGAAGACACCCTTATTTCATTCTCTCTCTGTAAGTCTCTGTTGTGCCCTTGGGGTCATGTAAACTCGCCCATACCTTGTCACCTGGCACACAGATCATCCGCTCTGGGAAGAGCGTTTTCTTTAGGAGGCCGGCCACAAAGATGAGGACAGACCTCTCATGCTAAGCCCAGAAACTAGAAATGATTTTATGTGCCACCTTGTAGCTTACAGAAATATCCACCGGCCTTGTGAGCTTACAGGATCACAAATGCAAGCTAGCAGCTTGTACTGTTACCGATTGCCTCTGGACGATACATGCCACAAAGCACGGGTGAGGAGCATGCGTGGTACTGACAGGAGGGTCAGTGAGGAGGCAGACCTGTCACTCAAGAGCACAGCCTGTTTCCAAAAGTGGGAAGAGAGATCAGAAACAGATTGATGGCAGCGGGCCGTCCGGGGAAGCCTCTCAGAGACAGCCACGTCTGGAATGAGCCTCAGTGAGCTTGCCCTGGAAAATCCTGGAGACAGGGCAGGCTGACAAGAGTATTCTCACGTTCCAGCACAGAGAGAGGAGAGTGGGGTGTGATCACTGTGTGGAAGAGGTCACTAGATCATGGGCAACCAGGAAGCATCTTTCACACTGCTCTGATCTTTCTAAATCGCTAGCCAAGAAATAACAACTGCAGACGTCTGCACCCCCAAACCCACAGACATAAACATCTGCACTGGGGAGCTTAAACAGTTCTTGATTTATTTGATGTCCAGTTGTGTCCTGAAATCCTGGTTTGTTGATCTGCGTTAGGGCTTTGACATGGTAGAATGGGGCTGTAGATTTAATATAAGTGGAGCTGGGGATACAGCCCAGAAGTAGAGCATTTGCCTAACACGCCTGAGGTCCTTCCTTCAATCCTCAGCAATACACACGGGCGAGGGGTGGGGTGGAATAATAACTATTTGCTTTTTAAAGTAGTGCAGATGTTTCTTTGTCCATGGTTGTGTTGTATCTTGATAACCTCATCATAGATTCAAAATACATGAGTCCAGCAGCTTACCAAGAACCATTGTTTGGCCGCAGAGCCAACCGTGTCCCAGCTGGTATCTAGCTTGCTACTGTGTGGCTGGGAGCTGTGATCACGGCTGAGGCACAGGATCCAGACGGAGTGCCTCACCACACACTGCCCGCCTAGGAAAAGACCAAGAGGGAAATTCTGAAGTGTGGTTTGCACTCAGAGGACATCACTCTCACACCGCCGTAAAGTCAAAGCTCCTTAACTCAGCCTGCTGCTATTGACAGTATTTAAAACAAGCCTCTAAAGTGTCTCTAAAAATAGTATAAATTCTCATTTACCACACGATTATGAAAGTTAAACCATCCAAAAGAAACTCCCAGATTATGGAACCATTGGTACCATTTTCTTTTCTATGATAAATGGTTTTTAATTGTTATTATGTTTAAATTTTGGCCTCTACTTTTCTCACCGAATATTATACCATAAAAGCATTTTGGCTTTTATGCTATTTCCCTAACTTTATTTTAAAAGAGTTATAAATGGGGACTAAAGAGATGGCTCAGAGCTCAGCTCTCAATCAGCATCCACACGGTCACTCACAACTGCCTTGTAGCTCCAGTCCAGAGCATCTGATGGCCTCTTCCAGCCTCTACAGGCACCTGCCTGCACTTAAGTTCACTCAGGGACACACACATACACATAAAACAGAAATACATTTAAAACATTTTAATTATCGGGCCGGGCGGTGGTGGTGCACGCCTTTAATCCCAGCACTCGGGAGGCAGAGGCAGGCGGATCTCTCCCGAAACAATACAGAGAAACCCTGTCTCGTAAAAAAAAAAAAAAAAAAACATTTTAATTATCAAAAAAGTAACAAACCTCTTGAGCATAGGTAAGTTACCACTTCCCTGTGCATTTTCTTTAGTTAAAGACACAGAGTGTTACCCTCACACTGGTGTGCTCAGTAGGTAAGGCAGTTGGGAAGGCTGGAGCTGGCAAGCAAACTAAAGTAAGAGAAATCCAAAGACTTGCCCTGGCCTGTTTGTGTACTGCCTGCATTCAGACAGTACCAAAGTCCTTACAGATCTCTCTCGATGGCTCTTAGCTTGAGTGTTGAAGAAAGCATACCCTGGCCATTCCGCTCGGGGGGAGGCGGGTGGCACTATCTCTAAATGTCCTAAGATGTTGGCAGGGAGACTGGACCACCAGCCAGCAGAAACAGGCCCTCTTAGCCTCTGTTGCTTTTATCCGCTAAACACTGGACGAGGGTAGAGGATGCTAAAACTTAGTGATGTGACTAGCCGGGAGGTGTGGGGAGGGGCATTGAAACTGGAGCCCTGTGGCCAAGGGACAACATCAAAGTGTGGCCTATGAAACAGGACAGTTCTAAGCGTACCTCTAGGTGTCAAAGGGAACATCTTGGCTCCAGAAAGGGTGCCAAGGCCTTGTGAACAGCTCTGGCAAGAACGTGCCCAGACTCTGCGGCAGACTCCGCCTGACTTCATATATGACAGTCCTCCAAAGCAGCGCTTCGTACTTTGCCCAAGGAAATCACCAAATCACCTCCTTGGTGCCGTTTCACTGGCAAGGTTTTCTTCTTTTATTAAGTATGAGGAACTTCTGAGTTTATTTCATTAAAGGTTTGGCAACCCAAGCATATTTTAAAGGAAAAGAAAAAACATAAACATTGTGTAGACTCATAGGAGAAAACTTGTAAAAACTATAATCAAAAAAGAAATGCTCTGAGTCCCATCATCAGGTTGTAGACACTGTTAATTCTTTGGTCTGTAGCTTTCAAATCAACTCCCGTTAACTCGGGGTGAGGCTTTGGACAAGGCAAGCAAGGGCCTGCCTTTCATTTGAGGTTTGCTTTTTCTAAGTTTCTATTTATTCTTTGAGAATTTCATACATGCAAAACAATATATTTCAACCACATCCTCCCCCATCCTGTCAACACCCCCCACCCCAGGTTCACATTTCTAAGTCACTCAGTGCTGCCCATACACTCACAGGTGTGGTGCCGTCCATACACTCACAGGTGTGGTGCCGTCCATACACTCACAGGTGTGACGCCGTCCATACACTCACAGGTGTGACGCCGTCCATACACTCACAGGTGTGGTGCCGTCCATACACTCACAGGTGTGGTGCCGTCCATACACTCACAGGTGTGGTGCTGTCCAGGAAGCAAGGCCAACCTACCAGGGACTGCACCACTGAGAGCATTGACTCCCCTTGTATGCCAAGGGTGGGGGCCTCAGGCCAGTGTTTACTCCTCCCCCATATGATCCCGTCAGTATGTAAAATTCTGAGGATTTTTAGGACTTTTTTGCATGGTTTTAGGGGTTTGTACAAATGCGTTAGTGCTCTTGCTAGCTGAGTCTTTAATAACCTCTCACTGGCTTCCCTGTGTCCTTGTTTGTGGCTGTGTCACTTTAGCAGTAGCAGTAAACGCGCGATTTGCCTATTTTATCGTAAATACCCCCTTCTATGGTCACATCTATGGCAGATATCAGAACGCCAAGTACAGAACATTCTCAAACAAGGGGGAAAAATACTTGAAACTGAGACCATCTCAGGAATTCAGAGCGTCCGGCCTCAGGCGCGGTTCTCTCTTCTCCAGGGAGCATAGTTCAGACATCACTTCAAGCTGCCACAGCATCTGCTTGCACACAAACCAGAAGCCCTCGATGCAGCCTCCTTCTCAAGAAGAAAGAAAGAAGAAAAGCAAAAATAAAAACCCTGTCACAGATGGGGGTGGAGTCTGGCTCAGAGTCGCCGAGGGTCGGAGCTCCTCATCCAAGCTGAAAGGCCCAGTGTCGGAGCTCCTCATCCAAGCTGAAAGGCCCAGTGTCGGAGCTCCTCATCCAAGCTGAAACGCCTAAACTTTTGAAAAAGCTGTTTCAGATCCATTTTTACTTACATGTATGTGTTTGTATGAGTGTGCTCACAAAGGGAGTCAGATCTCCAGGAGCTGGTGTTATAGGTGGTTGTGAACCACCCAACCTGGGTGCTGGGAACCAAACTCAGGTCCTCTGGAAGAGCAAAAAGCACTCTTACCTGCCGGACCAACCCTCTAGCTCCTGAGCTAAACTTCTGAAGGGGCGATTACCTGTTGGGGACTGCAAGAACCTTGAACAAAATGGAGTCTGTCAGCCATTTCTTGGCCTTCTGCCTTCGTGACTACGGGCACACATGCCCTTGAGACAAAGGAAAAAGTTAACCACAAAAGTTAAATTTACACAGGGCAGCCCACCCGCCTAGCCAGGGGGAAGTAACCCTTATAGAACAATTGCCTTTGTTGGCAAAGGGTTAATGTGTTCCTTTGGATGCTTTTACCACAATGATAGGCAGAAGTAACCCTTATAGAGCAATTGTCTTTGTTAACAAAAGGTTAAAGTGTTCCTTTGAATACCTTTTACCCCTCCCTAATTCTTGCACCTGACTTATGCTGACAAGCATTTGTGGAATGCAACTGATGGAAAATTACAGCTTCGTCTTTACCTTATTTGGTGTATATTTGAGTTGAGACTTGATTGTCATGCTTGTACCGCCCCCTGAGATTCTCTTCCTATAAGAACCATCTCACCCCAAAAATAAACGCTCTTGATCAGCGAACGTTGTCTTGAGCCTGCTTTCCTTAACCTCTTGAAGTTTACTTTTAAGATCGGATCTGCTCGTGAAGACCCACCAAATTAGTAGCCACCCTCATCACCTCATCCCCGCAGGTCGGGGATCCCCTCCGGAGGTCGCAATTACCAGCAAAGTTACCTGCTCTTAGCCGGGCGGTGGTGGTGCACGCCTTTAATCCCAGCACTCGGGAGGCAAAGGCAGGCGGATCTCTGTGACTGACAACCTCCAAAACAATACAGAGAAACCTTGTCTCATAAAAACCAAAAAAAAAAAAAAATAGTTACCTGCTCTTAGAGACAGGATGCAGATGAGGAAATAGAGCCTGAACAATAACAACAGCCAGGTTCACCACAGAAGACGTGGGTATAAGACAGCATGAAAGGCGGAGTATCAGTTGCCACCCACAGACAACCAACACTGAGACTCAGGCATCCCTTCCTCCCTTCATGGTTTACTGCGCGCACTCTAATTCTGAAGGGTGTTGGTGGGACGTAGCCCAGCCGCAAAGTACTTGCACAGCAAACCAGAGTCTCCAGGTCCACTCCCCAGCACTAAAACAAACATAACCCCATTTGTAAAACATTAAGCTTGCTTCCAACATTTAAAATGAATTGTTTATATAACATATTAGCATAATAGGCATAATTTATGGATAATTAAATCTATGGTTGATGTAGAGATGTTTCATTTATAAATCTATAAAATATTTATAAAAATGACATACAATAATTCATCAACTAAACTAAACATAAGATATCTAAATCTTATGTAGCTGCATTGAACAGGGGGAAATTCCTGGACCAAACGTGGCCTCAACCCTGCATTTGTGCAGCCCCGAGCAGTTCAGGTCTCCCTAATCCCAATGGAACGTCCACAGCAGTGCTGATCAAGGTATCCTAAGGGGTTTGAAGTCAGATGTGAAGGTGAAACTTGATCATGTCGGGCAGGGGTTAGTATTGTCTTTATTCTTTGAGGATTTCATAGACGTGTGCAATCTATTCTGACCATATTCATTTCCCACTGCTCCTTCCGACTCCTCCTGGATTCCTGCCCGGTCTCACTCCCAACTTCATGTCCTCCTCTGTCTGTCTGTCTGTCTGTCTGTCTGTCTGTCTGTCTGTCTGTCTGCTCTCTCTCTCTCTCTCTCTGTGTTTCTCTCTGTCTCTGTCTCTCTGTCTCTGTCTCTCTCTGTGTGTGTCTCTGTCTCTGTCTTTCTCTGTCTCTCTCTGTCTCTCTCTCTCTCTCTTAACCATCTGCACCTAATTGGTGCTACTCCTATGCACAGACGTACGGGTCAGCCCGCAAGGAGGCACACCTCACACCTCTAAAGAAAATGACCCTTCCTCCCTCAGCAGCCATCCCTGGTCAGTACCTCAGCTAGGGAAGGGCTCACACGATCCTCCTGCATCCATGCTGCAGTGTGTCCCGGCTTGATTTTGTGTAGTTGCAACTGTCACAGGCAATGGTCCTGTTGTATCCAAAGGACACTGTTTCACCCAACTCCTCCTCGGACTCTCTCTCTTCCAGGCTTTCCACCCCATGTTCCAAATGTCCCTGAGCCTCATATGCAAAAAGCCTAATCATTTATGACTTGTTTTCTTTGCCTCACTGGTTATTGGACATATTTCAGGAAATTCATCCTCTGAAAACAAAGGTCACCCACAACCTACCAAGCCTACTTAAGATCTTCAGGCCACACATTGGCCTCTTTGTCTAGTGAGAGGTTGAAGCATTTAAGTCCTCCTGAAGAAAAAAAATACTTATTTCACATTACACATTATGCGTTCTTCATTATGCGACCAAAATGACCTACAAACATCAACCTGTGGTCTCCACAGGAGCCCACATAAGCAAGTGCACCTGCACACACACACACGTGTATACCGCACACATACTCCAAAACTGTAGGGCGTGTGGAATAACAGTCTACAAACTTCAGTACTCACAGGTAATCATTAATAATTTTGTTTCACCTATGCAAATATGTCTACTGTTTTAAAAATAAGAATGTATACCCTATTTTTATATCAAGAATATTGTCCCCTATCTTAGCTGAGTATGAGCTCCAACCACACCATGGATGTGTCAGCCTGTCTCTCCATTTCAGGAATATCTTGACAAGTATTACTCACAGAAAGGAGGCCTCCAGGCTGGTGAGATGGTGGCAAGAGAAGATAACCCCATGATCAGGAAGATTAAGGAGCTACAATCTTTCTTTGGCCTCCAAGTCACTGGGAAGTTGGACCAGAACACGATGAACGTGATCAAGAGGCCTCGCTGTGGAGTTCCCGATGTGGCCAACTACCGCCTCTTCCCAGGTGAACCCAAATGGAAAAAAAATATTTTGACATACAGGTAATGAGATTGCGCCTTTCCCGATTCAAAGAGAAAGACACACCTGGCCCTCTCCTTACCTTTCCAAGCCTCTTGCTTCTGATCTGTAGGAAAGGCAGAATCCGAAGCAGCCATAAGAAAGGGGGGAGACTGGGCAGCTGTTTGTTTGAAAACTATAATCTCAGGGTAACTGTCCACCCTCCCCGTTACCAACCTGACCAGCTAGGAACAACTCAGTAACGGTTTACAGTTAAGTAACCCGTGGTAGGATCGGTAACCCTTTAAGCTGGCCAGCTGGGCTAATTAGTCAAACGAAAGACTTGAAGGCAAAAGAGAGACCACCTCCAAAACACAAGATGGAGCCACATGAGAAACAACACTGAGGGTCGGCCTCTGCCCCCATCCACCCCACACACTGCAAAAAGACTCGCTAATAAGAGTCATTCGTTGACTCCACAAATAATTTGCTGACGACTTTTGGCTACTATGGTCACTCAGTCTATGAAATATAAAGGCAAATGGTTCATCTTTCTCTTCATCTTAAAGGGGAGACAGACATGGACAGGGGAAAGGTTTGTCCTCATAGGTCTCCGTAGGCTCTCAGGGCAGCAGTGCGGGGAGCCACCAAGTTCACCAACCACACAGAAGTGACACTTGGCCCCATTCACCCAGGTGCAGGCCCGGCATTGACCCATCGTCTGGCATCTTCCTGTTTAGGCTGAGGAGACCTGCCCAACAGGAGCTTTTGTCCCTTCTTCTTGGGCTCTGGGCATGGTGAGCAAATTTCCCACTCTGGCTTCCTTGATCTACTTCAGAGCTTATTCAGGGTTAGCCCAGTCTAAAGAGCATCAGCCAAGGTGCCCACTCCTCAGCCTCAGGGAGTTTGAAGGTTGGTGATGCTGCCGTGCATGCGTCTCACATCGGCCTAGTGTGTGTGTGGCGTCGGGTGGTTCTACACCAGAGTTTTGTAGAACCTGGGCCATTTCCAAGCAGAAACCCGCCAAGCAAGCTGAGTGACATGGGCTGTCATGTTGAGTGACACTTCAGTCCCAATACCCAAGTGCCCTACTGAAACTGCAAGAGAGTGGTGGGAACCCAGGCAGTGTGCGCAGTGAGAACTTGCTAGTTCTTGGGAAGGCCAGGACCCGGATCGGGTTACAGTCCCGGGATCAGCCCACCTGGATTACACCTGGACATGAGGAAGGCTGGGCCGCTGCAGACTGCAGAGGGTTGTAGCAGAACAGCTTCCTTACCATACCAGGAGCTGGAATTCTGGGGTCCGTCGTTATGGTTCCAAGAGCTTTGTGTGCTAAGAAATGACTATATCCAATGATTTACTTTACAATTAAATTGTGTTTTAAAACAGAGATAGACTAAACATATTACTTCCTCTTTTTCCAATGTTGCCATCACCTAGATTCACAAGTTTAGCTGACTAGTTTCTGCACACTACAATGGCCTCTTGGCTGTTGCCAATATGGCTTCCCTGACAGGAAGTCGCTATTTACAATACAGAACCCAGCAAGCCAGGCAGGCGGAGTGTCGTGTTCCCTAGTGAAGTAGGCTGTCAAACCGTTGTGACAGACCCTGTGATCAGAGACAGGAATGGAGAACTTGGGGGAGACTTCTGTTAACTGCTATTAGACTCCCGGTCCACAAGGTGCCGCTCGGAACAAAGAAATCAAAACAACGGGGCATCTGTGAGACATTAAGCACAGACTGAGAAACAACTAGAGTTTAAGACCTTCATAAAACAAAAAAGCAGATTCATGACCTCTTCTCATAATTGTCTTCACCCGTGTCCTAGAATTTGAGGCTGTGACTGCACACACTTGGAGATGTGTACCATTCGGTGATAAATAGCTCTCAATACCCAGGCAACCTTACTTCAAGACAAGCTCCCTGGCAAGATGCCTCCTCTCCAAGCCCCTAGAAGCTGCCCTGGTACTTCACAGTTTCTGGAGGTCGGAATAGCATCTTGTAACAAGTGCCAGATGATTAAAAATGGAAACACACAGACGATGGCGCACAAACTTTGGAGGCAGGCAGAGCAGGACGAGGCTCCTGCTAACCCCAAGCTGCAAGCCTTGATTACCATCCTTACAGGCTGCCTCGGGACTGTGAGGGCTAGATAACACACCACATTAAACAACAGTGCTTAGAGCCCTGTCTCAAACAGAGCACGCCTTCAGAGAACATTGCCAATGTTTCCCAACAGCTCATGTGTTTTCCATCTTGACCCTGCGTCAGGATTTTTCCACTTTCTCTTCTCTGGCGTTATTCTTTTCTCCATCCTTCTTATCTTGGCTGCCTCACCTTGGTACACCATCAACTCCAGGATGCATCCGCTCTGCCTATAGCAAGAGGGAATAACGAGGTGCCATCTAACCTGATCCTACGTCATAGGTCGTCATGACAAATCATTAAATAGCCCAGACCTGAGTGATTTTTCCATCCTCTCTTTTGGTCCTTCTTTTGGGTGTCCTAGGATTTGGGTCTTGCATGCTGGTTCAAATCATATCACCTGCATGAGAATAATCTAAGGTACTTGCGACAATACAATACAGACTTCAGGACTAAACCAGCACACTCAACGAGCTTGCTAGACAGTTGTGGATCTTGAAGTCCCGGAGTGACGCTTGCACCACAGCCTTTGTTCTCCCATTTGCCAAGCACCTCGACTGTTTAAGACGCTGGAGCCCAGGCTAGAGGGAAGGGAGTGTGGATCTGCCTCCAAAGCTGGCTGCTCAACACCTGCCTCCCATTCCGTAGCTGGTACTCCAGCCCGGCGCAGAGTCCCGGGCGGAACTCTCTCCCTGCCCTTCTTTTCCTGCCAGCAGAACCCCAACCTCTGTGCTGCAGATCACAAGGAACCCGGACCCACCAACTCTGTGTCCACACACCCGTGTCCAAAACCACTAGGCTCTCGTGCATTGTCACTCGGGGCTCCCTGGAGTGCTCATCCCTCTTCTCACCCCAGTGAGCCTTCTGCTCTAGGCTAGCCCATCCTCTTCAAGGAAAGCAACACAGCGCACCTGCGGCTTTTGCAGAAGACCCAGGTTCACTTGTCAGTACCCACAAGGCAGCTCATAACCATCTGCAACTCCAGGTCCAGAGGGATGGATGCTCTCTTCTGGATTCCTCCAGCTTTGCACACATTATGCACAGACAAAACATCAATACTCATAAAAGTAAACCTTTTAAAAGTAAATTTTAAAAGAAACTCTCTCTCTCACATACACACACACACACTCACTCATAGGCCAATCCCCAACCCCGGGGAAATCTCACTGGTCTTTGATAAAAACTGAGGGGGCAAACCTTCGAATAACAAAGAAAACTAAACTTTCAGAAGCCCAGGGCTGTCTCTGCCTTCTGGGTCTCTCCATATTGTTCTGTTGGACATTAGACAATTCAAGATGTTCCAAAGCAGAGTACCAACTACTGATTCAGGAAAAGAACTGTGCCATGGAGACCCGGGCCTGCACCGGTGAGCAGCCTGGGTTTTCCATCCCTGTGTCTGTTTGGGAGCCGTCACTAAAGCACACACATCTGTTTTCCTTTGTCCAGAGTCTCTAAGTATACGCCTTCCATGAGTCCTGCTGAGGTGGACAAGGCTGTAGAGATGGCCCTGCGTGCCTGGAGTACCGCTGTCCCTCTGAACTTCGTTAGGATAAACTCTGGGGAAGCAGATATCATGATATCTTTTGAAACCGGAGGTATTGTACTATTTCAGTTACATTCTGTCTGTAACGACAAGGAGACTTACCCCAAACTGGCTCCTTTGGCAGACTTACGGAGTGGTTAGCATGGGGTTCCATCGTACAGCATTGAGATGAGCAGAGCCAAGACCGTAGCAAAGATGAGCATGTTTCCAGAAGGCGGAACGGACAGACGCCCTGAGGTGCACTTTCACTGTGGCTCAGCCCCAGGAGAGGGCAGGTTCTGTCAGCCTTAGCTTTCCCACTGGCTAGGGGACCCGATGACTCCAGACTCCCATAACAATGTTCACCTCTATCACCGGCTCCATACTGACCAAGATTCTCCCACATAGAGTCTCGCTGAGGAAGTCAGTTCCCCAGGGACACTGTGGTAGCCCAGACTCCAATGATAGCTACAGACGGAGCATTCAGGCCCTACCCATGCTTGAACACTACTTTTGGGAAGTACTTGTGAAGCTTGCCTCTATCTGCCTGCTTCTCCATCTCTCACACAGCCTGCTAGAGTAGAACATGACTTTGAACACGATTGGTAAAGCTCTGAGCCCTTTGCAGAGAAACGCACGCAGAAAATAGATGAAGCAAGAAGCCCCTGAAACTCCCCCTTCCTCAACGTCCAACAGTGAAGTTGGATGTCACTGACTCTCCCTCTGCCCAGCTAATGTTGCTCCGTGCCCGAGACGTTCTGAGCCCTGGGTTTATTCCAGTGGCGTCGGTGTGGGGAATGTGCCGAGGAGGTAGGGGAGAGGAGGTAAAGAGAGTCATGAAATGGCCTTGAGTGGGATCTGGCCACCGGCAGGTCCTGTCCCTGCCAGGCATCCAAGGGCACTTGGGGAAAAGGCAGGACAGTGTAACTCAGGTAGGTTCGGGGACATGGAACTGTTTGGTGACACTATCTTTCAAGCTGGTACTCTGCCCCTAGCACTGACCAGAGACCAGGCAGCCATCAGCATCTCAGAACACACAGGCCTCATTAAGCTGCATCACCTGAGAGCTGAGAAATAGTTTGCTGACTTTGTGGGTGCTGGCTTTAAAATAGGCAGGGCCAGTGAGGTGACGCAGCCAACCAGACAGCCCCGGGTGGACCCCAGAAGCCCGTGTGGTGGAAGCAGAGATCAGCTCCTGCGCGTTGTCCTTTGACCCCGACGTCACAGGGAGTGTGGCCGCTCACATGCACACAAAAGCTTAAGTAAGCTTAAAATCAGTGAGTCAATTAATAAAACGAAATACACTAAAACTCTGAGAACCCGAGTGCCCAGACGCTTCCTCTTCCGTGGAGTCCACACACCCTTCACTGCAGGTGACAGGACAGAGTGCCAGGGCCGAAGGCTCTGGGGGCCAGGATTTTCCTGACCACCGCTACTTCCGTAAGCTTTACATGTCCAGGTATCAAAATTACAACGACATTTCCTTTAGATACTTGGGCCCTTTAATCATGGTGTAATGCAAACAGAAAGGACACATTCAGTTTACTAAACCCCCCCCAGAGGAATCAAACATTGAAAGTTCTTTCTGCCTACAGGTTCATATTGTCAGGGAGCCTGGTTGCTACCAAATGTCCCTCAGAACTTTCTTCTTCTATCAGCTGTGCTTACCATATACTGCGTGTTGTGATTAAAAAAAAAAAACTACAACGATGCTTAACTGTTTGCAACGCCTCTTTGAAGTATAAAATAATATTTTTATTTTTCAGTTCCTTGGCCTATGACCTTATATGTAGTTAGACTGAATATTAGTGCTAGAGACATGTCTTGGCAGGTAAGAGCATCTGTGCTGTAACTCCAGCTCCAGGGAGACCTGACGCCCTCTTCTGGCCTCCTTGGGCACTGCACTCATGTGCACATAACCTTTCAGGGAGACACACACACACACACACACACACACACACACACACTCATATTAAAAATAGATCTTTAAAAGATGAATGTTGAAAGTGCATTTAAGGGTCAAGGCTGTTGAGACCTCCTGTGACCCCCTCCCCCCAGAATTATTACGCCTTAATCTGATTGATACTTCCTGCTTAGATCACGGGGATTCCTACCCGTTTGATGGGCCTCGAGGGACTCTGGCCCATGCATTTGCACCTGGAGAAGGCCTGGGAGGAGACACACACTTCGACAACGCTGAGAAGTGGACTATGGGGATGAATGGTATATATGCACAATTCACCATAGCCTGGAAACTATTGTACCTTCTTCTGGGCCTCCATCATGACACCTTGAGGTTCAACGTCCCAAGCCGCCCTTTAATTAGGGGGGCTGGCTAGGAAAAACAAGTAAGCCAAAAATCCAGAAGGGAACACATAGGGGACGCCCCTCCCTACCACGCTGATGCTGTAGACTAGCAGGCTCCCTGCTTCTTGGCATCTAATCTACAGAACCTGTCCCAGCCCAATGAGAGCTTACCTCTCATTCAGGTGTACAAGATTCATGGCTTCCCGCCTGTATGTGGAAATGGACTATATTTAAAGATGACCCCAGGAAATGAATTAGCACTCTCCCGAGGACTATGATGGGGGAAGGTGTAAAGTTCCCAGAATGGCACATGGGTCATCTGGAAGGGTGAGACATGAATGAAAGAGGAAGCTGGTACACCACACGCAGTTAGGTATAGTCGTTAGAATTCCAACTTTGATGTCAGTTAAATTAAAATCTCAATTCCTGGGTCCACCCATTGTTAACTGTAACCATGGGTGAGTTATTTCAGCTCTCTGAACCTGGTTTCCCCACAGCATTGATTAGAATATTAAATGTGTATAACACTGAGTTGTATGAAAACAGGTTTATTTTAAAGCAGTGAGCTAACCTTCTTGTAACTGAATTCAGCTTTATGTGTAAGCCCTTAATTTGCGTAGAACAGAAGATAGTTTGGCTGCATTGTACTATGTTCAATTTCTATTCAGTGACTTTTTATCATTAAAAATGTATAATATGAAGGGGGAGTAAGCTGTAATAGCAGGAAGTGATTCAAGTACTTAGGATCCAAAGCTATGCATTACTATAAATTTTCGCCACTACTGGCTACAAGACCCTTTGTTATCCCTCTGCCACTCATCGCTGACAATGGGAGACAGAAAGCCAAGTGCCAGGCTAACCTACCAACCTTTGAATCCAGTTATGAAACCGAGAGAGGACTGTGCTACAGGCACAAATTCTCCTGTGTGACAAAATGATGGAAACAAAACCGTGTTGATGCTTTTTCTCCATGTTGTCTAGGGTTCAACTTATTCACCGTCGCTGCTCATGAATTTGGCCATGCTCTGGGCCTGGGCCACTCCACAGATCCATCAGCACTTATGTACCCAACTTACAAGTACCAGAACCCCTACAGGTTTCATCTCCCCAAAGATGATGTGAAAGGAATTCAAGCATTATACGGTATGAGCTCTCCACTCTCTCTGACCCCGAGAGGGACAGGCATTCCGCCTCCAGGTTACAGAAAGTGCATTTTCCCAAGAGTTAGCTGCTTAGGGAGAGGAAGCTAGAGCCACACCTCCCTGGGAAGAGCATACACCAGCTGAAAGCACTGCCATGTTTTCTTTCCTTCAGAGCATTCTGGCCCTGAAAAGTCAAGGAAAATGGTCCATTTGTCTAATTTTCCAAAGCAGATGAAAAATTATGCATTGGAAGATGAAGACAGGGATTATAATTTATAGTACACACACACTTACAGATAAGTGGTCTTAGTGCCCTAAAAACAGCAATAAGGATGTTAGTAACTCTACCACTCGACCATACAGACAATCTGCTACTTATGACACCATCTTACACTTGTCATACATGTCCTTTTCATGACATGGTTGTATGAACTCATAACTGAGTTTTGAAGGTTAAAAGCAATAGGATCCTAAGACATCTTTAGTTACCAAATTGGTTATGTGTAACAGTAAATAAATATCAAGCACTTCTTAAATAATATTTCTATTAATTCTTGGAGAATTTCACATATGTTTACAATGCCTTTTGATTATATTTGCTTCCCACACCCCCCCTATCTCCTCCCATATTCACTGGGGCTCCAAAGCCTCCTCCTAACTCCATGCCATCTTTTTTCACAACCCACCAAGTCCAAATTGTACTGCATATACTGGAGCACATTTGACCCACTGAAGTCCACACCCACACAAAACTGACTTTCTAGTAGTCATCAACTCTAACAGTGGTTTTTGGCTATTAAATTTCACACAATATTCTCAGGTAGATCTTACTAGTACAACTGACGCAGCCAAGCATCAGTTAAATTACTTGTCTTATACCACACAAATAACAGCTAGAGACACTGAGATTCAAACCCAGATCTGCCTGCCATCGATAGCCATTTCCTGAAGGAAGGCATTGCCGCCTGCAGTGGGAATGTGTGCAGACTTCTAGGGTGCTCAAAAGTACAAGTGTGCGTGCTCTGAACTGCCGGCATCATTTTACACCTAGGACCCAGGAAGACGTTCCCAGGAAAGCCGACCGTGCCCCATATCCCACCTCACAAGCCGTCCTTCCCCGACCTCTGCGACACCAGCTCATCCTTTGATGCGGTGACCATGCTGGGAAAGGAGCTTCTGCTCTTCAAGGGCAGGTGAGCCCGAGATGCCCAGGCCTACCAAGCCACCCAGCATCAGTCTCCATGGCTGAGGACGCTGCAGAAATGCTACCTTGGGTGGAAGCAGGGTAGACGTGTGGTCTTGGGAGACGCACAACCGTGCGAACAACTGTGCATGGGGTCTGGGTGCTTTGCTAACAGCTGCAGTATTTGTCCTGGCAGGGTTAGAACCCCCAGGGTACTGTTAAAGAAAGTAGCTGAAAGGTAGCAACTTGGTCCCCCTAGGCATCAGCCCACGTGTATTGGGTTACTGTTTGTTGTTATGTGCCTAGTGAGAGGAACAGTAGAAGGTTCAGTCAGTGTTTGATGAATGACAATTAGCTAGTGAACAAATGAGCGGATGGGTGAATGCATGCATGAATGGAAAGATGATGGGTGGGTGGATGGATGAATAAATAGATGAGTAGATGGGTGATCAAATGGACACATGCATAGACAGGTAATTCTAAGGAAAAGCCCTCTCTAAACCCATTTTCAAGGCCTCCAGGTATTTCAGTGTCAGTCAGCTGTCATCATAGATATCTTCTGTCCCCATACTCTGGCTTCTGAAAGAGTCTCACAGTCATCTTCATGATACCTCCATGACTCCACGGAGGAAAACAAACATGGCAACATTCACCCGTATTCTCTCCTTTACTGAAGAGGAACTTTAATAGTACCGGAATAGACAGAGGATCCCAGGAATACGTGTGTAACTTTTTTCTTCATTGGAAAAGGTACTCAAAGTGTCTAATGAGTCCACATACTCTCAAAAGTTTCAGAAGCAGATCTCCTTGGCACACCTCGTGAGAGAAATCGTTCAAAAAGCATTTCCAGGGCAAGGGTGCTGCAGCTCGGCTGTAGAGTGTTTGCCTGCCATGCACGAGGCCCTGGGTTTAATTCCCAGGACCTTGTAAACGGGGCAGGGTGGTCCACATCTACAACCCCAGCCCTAGGAAGTAGTGTCAGGAGGGTCAGAAAGTCAAGGATGTACTTGACTATATAATGAGTTTTGAGGTGAGCCAGGCTACTGGAAACTGTCGCGATTTTCTTCGTCATTGCAAGGCAGAAGCTCAGGAGGCAGAGCTGTGTGCAGGGGTGAGGACGTGTTCAGGAGGCAGAGCTGTGCGCAGGGGTGAGGTGTGCAGGGGTAAGGACGTGTTCAGGAGGCAGAGCTGTGTGCAGGGGTGAGGACTGTTCAGGAGGCAGAGCTGTGCGCAGGGGTGAGGACGTGTTCAGGAGGCAGAGCTGTGCGCAGGGGTGAGGTGTGCAGGGGTGAGGTGTGCAGGGGTGAGGACGTGTTCAGGAGGCAGAGCTGTGTGCAGGGGTGAGGATATGTTCAGGAGGTAGAGCTGAGTGCAGGGGTGAGGACGTGTTCAGGAGGCAGAGCTGTGTGCAGGGGTGAGGATATGTTCAGGAGGTAGAGCTGAGTGCAGGGGTGAGGACGTGTTCAGGAGGCAGAGCTGTGCGCAGGGGTGAGGTGTGGAGGGGTGAGGACGAGTTCAGGAGGCAGAGCTGAGTGCAGGGGTGAGGGATGGAGGAAAGCAGGCCGTGGCAGGGCGCTAGCTTAGACTAGTTTTCGTGTATATAAGAACCCAGACAAAAAGACAGATGGTGCTCCAAGACCGCTGACTGTCACTGTGGAGCTCTCTTCTACGTGAGGATGAGCCCTGCCGTGTCCTCATGGGTCGGGGCCAATGAAGGATTTGTCCCCTTGCTCCTCACACGGCTGGAAACTGTTGGAGCTCTGATTTATACTCTAGACTATTTTAACCCACACCACTCCCCACACTGGGAATTATAAGCTCCACTTTCATGGCTTCAGGGAACTAGACAATGTATGGTTGATTTTCCGGCCTCTGAAGCAATGTGATTAGTGAACCCCAGAATGAATGCCTTCTCACCCACGGATGTGATGGTACGTAATTCACAGTTTTCAGAAACAAGTTTCGAAGGAGCCTTACCTGTCCTGGTAAACACCGTGTTAAAAGCTTACATAGTCACACTCTGCTCTCTTGAGATCATGTAAATCTTTTCAATTTTACATGGCATCGATTAATAACTTGGTAGAATCAAACGTCTTTTAAATGTTCATACAAATAATCGTACGTGCCTGTCAGGGTTTATGGAGCACTTTCTTTTATACCCCCCCCCATTCTTTTAGGGGACGTGCTGGCAATGTCCCAGAGGCACCAGCTGTAATAGAGTTAAGTTACCGCTTCTCTCCGTAGCTAGACCTTCAGCCCGTGCGCTCCGCACACCAGGCTCAACCGCAGCACTGCTCTAGCTGCAAAACAATCATTATCACGGGAACCTGGCTTTGGAAATGCAGTAAAGGTCAATTACAATGCAGTCGCTCCGTCACGGTCAGCCACTTTAGGAAGGAAAGGAGACCAAAAATACTGTGTGCCCTGAGAAATTAGAGAGTTGGTAGGGAAACGGCGGGTGAGGGGGTGGTTAGTGCCCAGGTGGCAGAGAAGGGGCAGGGGGGGAACAAGGCAAGGTCAGGGAAGATGAGGCTGCCGGCTAGGGCTGGAATGGTAAACAGGTACAGAAATATAACCGGGTTCCCTAAAATCGTCCCAGCTCTGTTTACCCGGGTCCGATGGCAGATGCTGCCCGTGCCCTGGGCAGCCTTTCACGAGCCTGGCTGACCATTCTGACCCCACACCTCGCCACGCCTTCCCTCGATGGGCTGAGAGTCTGGTCACCTGAGCTGTGATCAGACCTCCTCACTGAATACGGTATGCTCACACTCAAAGCTTTCTTCCTGGTTGTCTAGAGGCATGCGGCTGGCCACGCAGTTGCTCTGGGTCCTACGGACGTATGTGGTTCCAGCAGGGTCTGTTTCCTCTAGGGTGGCCAGGCCACCATTTGAAAATGGTGTCACTCAACGGCTCTGGCTGAATGCCAAGGCGAGAGGGTTTCCCCATCCCCTCCCCTTCCTCCGCCGGTGGGCAACTTTAAACTCCCTTCTCCTTGTCTCTGCCCTTTGAAGTGTCCATTACTGGAAGTACAGTGCAGATTTCCAAAGCTCTTAAGCCATGGTTGCAGTCCAGCAAGCGACTGGAATGTGAGAGCTCCCCTGAGTATGGCCATGCCCCAGGGTACAGTCTGAAACGTCCACCCATTCCCCCACCCCCACCCCTGCTACTGCTCAGCTAAGGTCCTTGTTTCCCTTTGTTACTGAAACGAGGTTTCCCGCCATGGCCCGCCTCCTCTGATAGCCTTACCTAACTTCTCCTGGTTTATTCCCTGGATGCAGCCCGTGTCTGCATGTCTTCTGTGTCCTGTTTCTCTCTTTGTACCACACTTTCTGACCCCAAAAGGACAGTCAGCAACTAGGAGCCTCCAAAAGAGGAGAGAGACACCTCTTCCTCCTGAACATAGGGAAGGGTACCAGAGAGGCAGGCTCGGGTGGGTGTGGGGCTGTTACGGGTGGAGGACAAGGGCTCCTGAGTGGGACTGCAGTGACAGTCTGTGAGACACGGAGAAGACGACTCCTGAAAGGGAGGACGTGAACACGCCTGGGCAGGATCGGGACAGAGACGGTCACAATGCTCTGAGCTGAGAGGTATGACCATACGGATGAATGTAGAGGCAGCTTGTCGACAGTGAAAAGTTTCTCAACAGGCAGTGACCAAGAATTTAGTTAAAAACCAAACATGTACTGAATCCCACATGTGTCCGGCAACCCTCACCCATGTTATATTGAGTAATTTCAGTACATCCTTGATTCTGGACAAACAACATGAACACCTTACAGTGGGCCTGGCATCTCAGCATGGGATGCTGATGGACCTGGCCTGGCCTGGTGCCTTCACTCAGATTTGAGACTGTTGAATTTCTGTTGTTGTGGTACACACAGCGTTTTATGATCTCATAATAGTTCATGGAAAACAATGCTATGTAATATGTTCCTAGAGTCATCCCTCCCATGGAAGTAGCAAATCAATGTATCTTTGGACCGTCCTTCGTTAGACAGTCTGAGCATCTCTTTGGAGGGCAGATTTGCTTTCATCATTAGTAAGCAGTTAAAAAAAATTAGGTGCATGCCAAACAAATTGAAAATTAAGATAGAATCTTTGTGATTTATCTTCAGTGAATGTTTAATTTGTATAGGTATTCTATATGCCCATATACCTGTATACCTGGGTATCTTAAATCTTTCTCAGAAGTAAAACAGTCACACATGGGGGAAATTTTTAAGAGAAAACATTCAGCCCGGGGGGCAGCTCTATGATTTAGCAAGATCCAGAATTGAATTCCCAGGAAAAGCAAACAATAAAAAGGAACAGAGGTCAACCAGCGTGGGTCAGATGCACCAGGATATAGTAAGGCATGATCCTGCCTGCTCCAGGGAGGCTATCAGCAAGCTAATCTCAAGTTTACTGCATTAGTTAGAGTTCTGGTAACAGGAAGTGCACCCTTGGTGAACTCTGAAATTCATTGATCTAATGTGTTCTGTTCAACCCTCTGGTATCAGCTGACAAATGTTTATTGAATCTTGATTATGATCGCTATCAGGTACACGAAGACAAATAGTGGCAGTAAATATCAGCTGGCAGGTGACATCAGATCCTACTGCTTTCCCATCCTTATCGGAGATTAGATTACGGACTGTTGACATCCATCTGGTACAGTTCCTGCACATCCTAACCTGTCTCAGCCAACAAGTCTCTAGATTGGAGGAAGTTCCATTTAAATTGTGGTTCAACTTTAATTTGTCTTTTGCTTTAATACGCTGAATCAACGTTCTGTTGTCTTATTATCTTCCAAGCATAAGTTTTCTTCACCCACTAGCTTATGAAAAGTTTTTGTGACAATTTACATAATAGCACCATATAGAGCATAGCACTGCATGGAATATGCACATTGTAACAGGACTCTTTAAAACAGTTACTGATGTTGTGAGCCACTCTAAGTGTCTGAGAGCACTTCCAGGCCTCAGCTATGACAACCGGCATTGTAACCACATATCATCAAAATTTGTGTTCCCTGAGGCACAGATATTTGCATTAGAATGACTGACTACTCTGCTTCAGGTTAGCCCTCCCAATGTCTGGAATAGCTTAAATCAAGACTGACTGGATATGAGAATTAAGATCTAACGCCTAGGGAAAGCTCCAAAGCCACACCCTGGCTGTCTGCCCTCCTTACCCTGCCCTGCTGTGCACGACAGTTATCCATATGTGTCCTTCAGAGGACAAGCAGACTTTCATTTTTGCCTAGTCCTTTTGGAATTTTAGCTCTGGAAATATCAGAATAAACAAAGGAGAAATCTGTTTGTAATGATCTCTGGGAGTGAGGGTGTGTGTTTAAGAAATCTGTTTGTAGTGATCTCTGGGAGTGAGGGTGTGTGTTTAAGGAATAGCCCACTGCTCTGCGGTCTACGTCGTGATCATAGGTGAAGTCTCAGAGGTGCCAACACAATGAGAAAGAAGGAATGTTTCTAAGGTTATAGGGTGAAAACCAAACATGACAGCACACCCCTGGAGCCCAGCACACAGGAGGGGGACACCCGAGCATCAGATATTTAAAGCCATCCTTAATGAGCTTGCGGCCAGCCGGGAATTCATGAGACTGTCTCAAAACTAATAATAATAGAGATAGTAGTAGTAGTAGTGCAATGTGTTACTCCCTAAAACACAGCAACAGGCATTGGGGATTTCACAGTGTCCTCTGCCATGTGGCTCATAGTATTGCCTTAGTCTCTGCAATCTAAGATCTCAACCAATCCTTGACGTTGATTTCTTCTGCCCCACCCAATAGGATTTTCTGGAGAAGGCAGGTGCACTTGGCAGCAGGGATTCGACCCAACACCATCACCAGCTCCTTCCCACAGCTCATGTCCAATGTGGATGCGGCTTATGAAGTGGCCGAGCGGGGCATTGCTTTCTTCTTCAAAGGTATCTGCAGATCCCTCAAAGAGAGACACGCCAGGGCCTCGGCGCCACACCTGTGTCACGTGGTGGTTTTGGGCAGTATCACTTGCTCCTCCTCAGGTTGGGTACTAGATGTCACCCCACATTCTTGTAGCCATGGAAGGAATGGCAGTAGCTACAGCTGTCCCCAGGACCAGCCTTGGAGTTTAGTAGGCACTATGTTACACGGCCAGGGCTAGGAAGCCTCTCTGTTAAGAACAGCATGGCACACTCTAATGAGATCCTTTAACATTAATTGAAATCTTTACTACAAAGTCATGCTTAGAGCAGCCGGTGGGACACAAACTCCTGTGTTTTCAGGAGACAAACCCACAGGAATCCAATCTGTGGCTTCAGTCATTCACTATTTAAATAACGCTGAGACATTTCCAACGGCCATGAGATTTCATTTCTCATCTGCAAGGTGATTGGAATAGCACCAGTCTTAAGTGCATGTCTCAGCAATAGACAGCCAAGCAAAGCTACCTGGAACACACGGACTGCTAAGCCTCGCTGATATATAAAACTGTTGTTAAGGGAAAAAACGTCATTAGATGTCACTTGTCTCCTCTCCTTGTGCTTATATGAAGGTGAGGGGAAATTATAGATAAAAATTATGTTGCAAACATAAAGGTGTGAAGTGTAACAAGAAACAAATGTATCGATATTACTGCTTTCTCAGGGCATAAATGTAGCCTTGCCTCCAGGGAAGTTTGAAATCCACTACTATTCAAATTGAGTAACTAGATATTTAAATCCACATGTAGTAGCCCCGTTTACATCCAGAATAGTGTCTTCGTGAGTGAAGCCACTTGGTGAGTGTTACCGAATGGCTGTAGACTCTATCCTTTGTTTCTAGGTCCCCACTACTGGATCACACGAGGATTCCAGATGCAAGGCCCTCCCCGGATAATTTACGACTTCGGGTTCCCAAGGCATGTGCAGCGAATAGACGCTGCGGTCTACCTCAGGAAGCCTCAAAAGACCCTTTTCTTTGTGGGAGACGAATACTACAGGTGAGGTCTTATGCCTTAATTTTCCCCATATGACTGATGGGGAGGAAAAAAAATCTTCTGCAAAATGTAGGACGGGCGACTTGACAGCCGTCTGCTGGCTTCTTGACCTCAGGGCGGTCTTGAAGACACAGAGCTGCAGTCAACCATCTGGTTGTTTCTAGGACCAGCATCCTAATATTTCTGTGAATTCACTAACTTTGCCCCAGTGGAGATGCTGTCTCTAGGTTCATCGCCACCATACAGAAATGCCTGAGGGGGAACAGATTCCTTCATCACAAGTGATCATAGAAATCTTTGTGATTTGAGGCAAAAATGGAAGTGGCCACCATGGAGGTGGTCACAGAGGAGGTGGTCACAGAGGAGGTGGCCACAGAGGAGGTGGTCACAGAGGAGGTGGCCACAGAGGAGGTGGTCACCGTGGAGGTGATAACAGAGGAGGTGGTCACAGAGGAGGTAGTCACAGAGGAGGTGGCCACCGTGGAGGTGGTCACAGAGGACGTGGTCACAGAGGAGGTGGTCACAGAGGAGGTGGCCACCGTGGAGGTGATAACAGAGGAGGTGGTCACAGAGGAGGTGGCCACCGTGGAGGTGATAACAGAGGAGGTGGTCACAGAGGAGGTGGTCACAGAGGAGGTGGTCACAGAGGAGGTGGCCACAGAGGAGGTGGCCACCGTGGAGGTGATAACAGAGGAGGTGGTCACAGAGGAGGTGGCCACAGAGGAGGTGGCCACCGTGGAGGTGATAACAGAGGAGGTGGTCACAGAGGAGGTGGCCACAGAGGAGGTGGTCACAGAGGAGGTGGTCACAGAGGAGGTGGTCACAGAGGAGGTGGCCACCGTGGAGGTGATAACAGAGGAGGTGGTCACAGAGGAGGTGGCCACCGTGGAGGTGGTCACAGAGGAGGTAGTCACAGAGGAGGTGGCCACCGTGGAGGTGGTCACAGAGGAGGTGGTCACAGAGGAGGTGGCCACCGTGGAGGTGGTCACAGAGGAGGTGGCCACCGTGGAGGTGGTCACAGAGGAGGTGGCCACCGTGGAGGTGGTCACAGAGGAGGTGGCCACCGTGGAGGTGGTCACAGAGGAGGGAACTGTGTATAATCCCATGGCTGTCCTGCAGGGTCTAAAATGAGCAGATCTGGGTAAGGCCTGACCTAGCATGCAGCCACTGCACATGGGGCCGCACCACAGCTGCCTACTACAGCTCTGCCTTTAATTGATTGGCAGAACTGATTGAGAGTCTCCACCAAGCACCCTCAAAGACCACCCTAACCCACACCACCACCCCTGCTCCCACTCTCCATGTGTTGCTGCTCATTTCCATGAACACCAGACAAGAAGCAAAAGCAGGTTCTAAGCAGGTGGTTGTGACAAACACCGTGAGGCCCTGAGGGAAATCAGGGCAGCAGAGCCCAGCTTTGTAGAGAGAGCTTCTGTTTCACTTTATGTCATCTGTCCTCTAACCTATCTCTGTATCTGTCATCTGTCATCTATCTGTCATCTATCACCTATCTGTCCATCTCTCGTTTAGCTTGCTTTGGTCTTTAGAGACAGAATGTCTATGTGTGTAGCCCTGGCTGCCCTGGAACTCATTCTGTAGACCAGGATGGCCTCCAACTCAGTGATCCTCCTGCCTCCACCTCTCAAGTACTGTGATTAAAGGTGTGTGCCTCTACCCCTGGCATCATTTTATGTTGTCTCTCTTAATAATCATTTGCAAAAGAAATTGACAAAAACAACAACAACATACCCCTTTCTTCTCTTTCCTCACCTGACTGATACTTTCCCTTTCAATCTGAACAAAAGAAACGCAATTAGAGCACACACATCCTTCATGAGGATTTATTATTATTAATTTATGGCCCCGCTGACTCCTGTCAGCATGGGGAGACCTGGACGCACTACTCTAAGAACTGTAGCTCCTGAGAGAACAGTGACTGCAGGCCCAGCCTACGCCACTATTCCAGCTCCTTTTCTCTAGGAACTTTTTATCTGAAACACGCTCCTGAAATCTATCGAAGGCCACATCAGTATCTTCAGGTCAGAGTATGTCTGCAGGTTTCCTCTAAGACCAGCACTCTGCTGGCAAGGCCAGTGGGCAAGTAACCCGATTTCCATGGCGGATCTTCCGTGCACCAGGGGGAGAGGTGCCTGTATGAGCAGGGGTGGGGGAGTACACGTGAGGATGGTTGTTCAACCTGTTTCTCAGTGTTCGGGGCCTGGTGTCATTGGAGCGATTACTGCAGTACCACAGTCTCTCTTCCTGTTAGCCCGTGACTCACCGCCATGCTTTGAAAAGCACGTGAATGGAGGTTGGGTGAGGGCAGAGGTCTCTAATCCTCTCTGAGCTGGAGATTAGGGAAGGAGAGCTACTCGGTCGGTAGGGGCTGGATCTCCATGACTATCTATGAGGGAAGAGCATTGCTTGTCTGTTTATTATTTATATTTATTGGGACTTGCACATGCCGCGGCACCATGTAGAGGTCAGAGGACAGCTCAAGTCCACTAGTCCCCTTCCAACATGGGAGTCCCAGGGATTTAACTCTAGTGTTAAGCGGGGCTTCTGTCTGCTGAGCCTTCTGCCAGCCCAGGGAAGAGTCTTCAGTAATCTGCATTAGGAGAATCCCTTACCAGTTGATCTGGGACACTAATTTAAATTTAACATTAGGGAAAGAAACCATCTTCCAGGGTGTTAGGTGGATGATGAGTTCAGACACCCAGCATAGGGGCTAGAGCTCCGAAAGTGACAGTCTTCATCGATTAAAAAACAAACAAACAGCATAACTGACAAGTAGCTACTTTTAAATCTGTGGTCATTAACACATGATTAATTTGCCAGGCGGTGGTGGCACCACCTTTAAACTTACTCAGGAGGCAGAGTAAGGTGAGTTCCAGGACAGCCTGGCCCACAGAATGAGTTCCAGGACAGCCAGGGCTACACAGGGAAACAAAACAAAATAAAAATGATTAATTTAACCTCGGTATCCCTCTGGGCAGCAAAGACGTCAAAGAGCAGATGAAAGGGACTTCCTTCTAAACTGTTGGAAGCCTGGCATTAGCTGAAATTACTGCAGTTGCCAAAGCATAGACACAGGTATGCGTGACGGGAACCTGCTGACTTATGCTATGCCATGTGTACTAAAGAGTTAAATAAAAAAACTGACCTACAACTGAAAAGTTCAGGATGAACACAATAACTATTGCCAGCCCTGTTAGTAAAACTGTCCAAAGCCTTACGCACGCATGGCAACTGTCATACTAACCCACCCGTACGCTGCTTGGAAAGCATGGTCAGTTGCAGGTAACAGGGATACCCACCCAGCCCCCACCCTAGGACCACCTAATGCTTTTTTTTCATGTACATCAAACAGCTGGAGCGAACTCCAGCTGCATGGTGACTCTATGGTCACTAGGATCCAAGTTTCTTCAAACATTTTGTCCCCATATGTTTTGTTTCACTTTTATTTATTTTCTACAGAGGGTAGGTGCACACTGCAGCGCACACAGGGAGGTCAGAGGGCAGTCTGTGGAGATCAGTCCTTTCCACGGAGGGGTCCTGGAGACTCCACTCAGGGTGCCAGGAGCAGCAGCAAGTGCCCTTACACACCGAGTCATCTACGTGCCTTTGTTTTGGTTTGGTTTTTGGTTTTTTGGTTTTTTGAGACAGGGTTTCTCTGTGACTTTAGAGGCTGTCCTGGAACTAACTCTTGTACACCAGGCTGGTCTCGAACTCACAGAGATCCGCCAGCCTCTGCCTCCCGAGTGCTGGGATTAAAGGCGTGTGTCACCACAGCCCAGCTGCCATCCACATTCTTAACATGAGGCTTTCATTATTGTGGTTGCCTCAGGATTTGAGATGGCTGGCGGGAATTTATTCAATACTTCATTCTTCTAAAAAGAAAAATTTAGCTGGGTGTTGGTGGCTAAATTTTTTGACTGATTTGCATATCCCAGCCCCCTTTCCTTCGCACTGGCAGTGAGGACACAGGCTGTCTACATGGTAGGCTGGGGGTGTAAAGGACACATTTCCCAGTCTGGATGCCCCCGCACTACTGGGAAACATTCTCACTTAAAGATGTTATGGTTAGTTGCTGTAGAGAGATAAATAGTAAGTGGAAAAAGTAGGAATAGTAAAGTAAAATTAAAGTTACTTGTGATCGTCTTAAAATAAAACAACTCATTAAGAAATCACTTCATTAGACCGAGTTACTGGATATGAGTTCATCCTAGGATTGCCATGGGAATCCTGGAACTCCGAAGAAGGTGCCATTTCCAGCTAAGCGTGTGTAGCATGACTGAGGTCATGGCTGAGACGTGGTGCACCACCTCGCCTAGTGTGAGCCCTGAGTTCAGCCCTCTGCACTCCGACGGCACGCGAGAGACCCGGAGTTCAGTCCCCAGTGTAGCATACACCAGGCAAACAAGACGTGTGAGCAGCAGCGAGGGAGCCCTAGAGTTTACCTCAAGTTGACCAGCAACCATCAGGCAACCGCTCCATTTCTTTACCTGCAAAATAGAGGCAGAAACTGTACTCACTTCACAGAGTTACCAAACTGAAAGGGAAAAGAAGCGTGATTCTGTCACCCAATACACACTCATAAATCATCCTACAGATCCGTAGATAAATGACTAGCAGAGGTTCAAGGGCAAGAGCGCCCTCGTGGGAGACAGCAGGGCTTTCAGGGAGCCAGATCAAAGAGGGAACAGGTGGTCTGACAAAGCTATCAGGAAAGAGTCCCCAGCAGAAGTGAAGACCACACCCAGCCCTCTGTGAGAGCTGCGTGGGAGTTTCCCAGGCAGGAGTGGGTGGGGCCAGTGGCTTCCAGGCAGAGTGAGCTGTTGAGGTAAGCACCCAGGCAAGACTGGGCTGTGAGTCATTCGACGTGAGGAGAGATGGGTCCGACACAAGCAGGGAGAATAGATGGGGAGGACCCACGGCTGCCTACGAAGGCCCCTGTCAACTCTGTAGAAAGGGGGCATTGTTAGGTATCTTAAGTAAGACAT